TAATAGTTAGTACTATTTACTAATTATTACTTTACAACAAAAAAAAAAAAAAGGAAAACTTAACGAGTAGAATAATAATAAACTAAACGGACAAAATTTCCTCATCGTCTACCATCAAGCCAAATTCGGAGTTCTGAGTGTCAGATAAACATCTTCATGGCGGATAAAATATCTTAACAATACAAGATGAAGAGTGCTTTAAATAAGGAATAACGTTATGGGTCAAGAAATCTATGTGAGAATAATGAGACATAATGATATTAGTAGTGGGAATACGATATACGAGGTCACTTTTAACGATCACTATATTTTTGCGCTTGTCTTGTTCTTTTTCAGTGTGTTTTAATAGGTTTATATTCATTTCTATTTTCTACATAAGCCTTTTAATTTTGCCTAAAAGAATTTTCCACCACTGATTTGAAATGTTTTGCGTCCCTTAGTGGCATAATAACAGCACAGCTAGCCCATTGTGTAGCTTTGTGCTTAACAAACAATTTTCTTTTTGTTGACAAAGACAACTTTGGTGCAGCATTTGATTTAGTGGATCCAAGGAAATTATGTATGTCTGTTTTAGAGCAAAGCTACATTGGGCTATCTGATGTGTCCACCACGGGGAATCTAACTCCGGATTTTAGTGTTGTAATTTTTAAACTTACTGCTGTCCCACCAGAAAACCCAAGGAAATATATCATGGTTGTAACATGCACATAGGTACCAACAAAAATACTAGCTGTGATACTAAAAGTACTCCTGGATTAATCTTTCCAACAAGAATAATGCACTTTTTAAGTAGTCTAAATTCTCTTGTATAATTTACATTTATGCTAACATATAGGTTTCTTAACCTCTGACTTCCGTATTTCAACAGCTTATCAATCTATATTGCTTATATATTTTAAAACGTCCCAAGGTACTGTATGGATATGTTTTTCTGTTTAAAACTATTTCGTATACTCAGATCCGTATATTTAGAATGTGATAAATGCTGTTTTCTTTTCTTTTCTTTTATCAGTAATAGATTCTCTCTCTTTTTTTCAAAAAGAACGCTGTAAAAAAAAGTCAAAATATTCAAATAGAATCATAGCATACATGAAATGTCCTTATAATTGGAGTGTTAAACATGCTAAAATAACTCTCTTATAATTATCTTATTTGCAGATATAAAAAGCTTTTTGTACACAACAGCTACCACCCTGAACAAAATGTAAATGTCCACAATTTCGTTTCTTTAGACGTGAAACTGGTGTTCAAAAATTCAATTTTTTTTTTATTTCAGTCAGATACTACTTTAAAATTAACTCTGTTATTAACTTTAGGTGACCGATCTTCCCAGTCCTGTTTTATTATATAAATAAGTAAATCACTAGGTAGAGTTACCTGTAGACTATATGCCTACCATCTGTCTCTAGCGTTTCACAAATTAGCTTAGGCCTGTACTCTAGGCTGTAGTGTAAATACAGCAATGTTGTATTTACCACTTACCAGTACGTAGTACCACCACTGGTACTAGTACCATTAACAAATAATATCAAAAATAAAGATAGATTTGATACAAAGTTTATGTATAATATTATAATAATTAATATCAATAATCAATTTTTAGCTCTATCCTACATTCTATACGCCCAGTTTTTTAAATTAAAAACCCCAATGTCTACTTAAGTCCAGCAGACTATGACTATAAGTTAAACTAGTTAAAATACAACTAATATTAAGATTAAATTTAACAAAAATGCATGCCTGAATTTTGAATGTTTTGGTTACATATCTATTTATTATCATTAAAAAAGTACGAAATGGGATTGTAATTTTCACATATTTTTCTTTATAGAATTATATGATTCTTTAGTGTAGTATATAAATTAGTTAGTTATGGACTAGTAGTTTATAAAGAAATAGGTATGCTTTGTGTAATTTAATATAGCCATAGGTATTTCAAGCCTATCCAGCAGTTTGCACATTTAGATGGGCCAATCTGAGGTTTGAAAATGGGTTAAAATGGCAATTATACAACCTTATTTCTCTCCTAAGCATTACATTGTTGCTTACTCTACAGATTAGACATATTTTTTGGTTGATTTTTGAATAGATTATCATTTATTTTACTAATTTTCAAGAATTGAGTTCATTCATAACTGTCAGGCAAGATAATTCACATTGTTTCCTTAGTTATAAACTAGGAAAACATGTATAATTTAATCACTTATTGGTGAATTCAATTTCAGAAAAGGTCTAAATTAGCATAAATTTAGGTGCAGTGTTGTATTATGCAAGTGGTTTATCTATATGAACATTTTTAAAAATTAAGCTTAAATTTAGATGTATTAAAGTAGAGGCACTGTCAATGATTTAAATTTGAAAATGATTATTCAACTGTCAAACAGATTGGAAGGAGATAAAATATTTTAAACTGTAATGTTTTATATACATTTCTCTCTGAAAAGACATTTTTTGTTTGCTTAAGAATGTTTTTTTGTTCCTTTTGAAAATATAAAAACAATGTGAGTTTGAAGTTCCATTTTTGAATAAATATATATTTGATCATAGACTGATAATAAAAAGTTAAAGAAACAGTAAATTGTTGATAGATTTATTTGATTTTTATTCAATATCATCTATTCTTTTACCAGACTTCTGTGTGAGTGTAACTGTATTTTTTTCACGTAATGGTAACAGCAAACTTTTTAACATAATGGTTGTTTGTAGTGTACAACACTATATTTTGTTATTTTTAGAGATATATTATCTATTCTAATATAAGTATGGCTTTTTTTTGTTACTTCTGAATGAATTTATCTAAGTGGCTTAAAAGTGTGCTGTCTGAATTATAATTTTTTGGGTATTTTCTAGGAAAAAGTAGAATACCTTTTTCTTGTGATCTTCACCATCGAGTGCATCATGAAGATTATAGCTTACGGTTTTTTGTTTCATCCCGGTGCCTACCTTCGTAACGCATGGAACATATTAGATTTTGTGATTGTTGTTATAGGGTGAGTAGAACAATATTATTGTGTTAGTGTTTAATGGGTATACCTTATTTAGCTAAGTGAAGTGAGTATCACAGCTTTTCGTAAGTTTTATACCTATAAACCATTTTTTGTTTATTTTATTTAAAACATTGTACTAAACTTCAAAACTTCAACTTTGATAATAACATTTTTATTGATTTCATACATCAGTGATCCCAGCTTGTAAAAGAATATGATGCATAACTTAAATTAAAAACACTGCATGATGTACAGAGATGTTTTTATTGTTCGATGGTGTGTTTTTATGATAGTAAAATTGTTTAAAATAAAAAGTTATATCGCTATACACATGGTACTCAACACTAGTTTATTTTTCTCTTAACTGTAGCATGATTAGCACAGCCTTATCAACCCTCATGAAGGAGGGATTTGATGTGAAAGCCTTAAGAGCATTCCGAGTTTTACGGCCACTTAGATTAGTGTCTGGAGTCCCTAGTAAGTACCCAAGGTTCTTCATTCACTGTTGATTTTCTAATGCTCTGAATAAGTTTACTGTTATTTTTCTTTTATTCTTGAACTAGTAAACAACAATGAAAAATTAAATAGCTGTTTTAAATTAGCATTTACCCAGGAGAAAATATGGTTCATCTTTATAAATCAAACATATTTTTGAGTCAATATATATCCAAAACATAATATAGTAGATTTTATCAATATATATATTTCAAACATACATAAAGTGCTTCATCTTTCCAAGTCTTAATTTTTCTTTCTGCATTTAATAAATCCTAAGTCATTAATAGATTGGTCACTTTGTCGGCTGTGTAACATCTGTTATTGTACGACTAGCCCGATGAATCTACAATGGTGAAATGTTGGCCAAAATAAAGTTCTTTTATTATTATCTGGAGAGGTTCTGTTTTTCCTCTAATTTTACTGCAAAAACTTTTGATTTTGTCGAGATGAAATTTCTGAAAGCTGAGAAGTACTAGTTTATTATCTTTTTTTTTTTCTGTATTGACATAAAAAGATAGTAATAAAACTCTTTAGTAACTGGCATTCTTTCTATACCTTGAATATTTTTGAACTTTTGTAATAAATCTGATTATGAAATTAAACAGAGAAGTAAGAATGAGATAAGTAAATGTTACTTTGTGTCACCAAAATATCAAAAGATTTTTTTCTAATCCTTTAACTCTGAGAACATTTTATGAAGTGCATATTTTATATTGCAGTTTTTCATGCTGTTTGGTCTTAGTAAGATTGTCTTAGAATTTATTTATTCAAGAAGGATAGTACTTAGAAGTAACAAGCTGCTGTTTACGTAAATATTCTGTAATCCTCTTTTTACTGTACCGAACTTGTTTTGTAATTCAGCGTTTTATATTCTAGATAATAAATACTTCATATGACGGCTTATGTAAATAGTGTTTCAACCACTACTGCGGTTGAAGTGTAGTGGCTAACTCGAAGAGCTCTGTATCACACAAAATGTATCATCTTCAATGGATGCGACAGTGGTTGGAATACTGTTGTACACTCTTCTTGGAAAAAGGCCTAAGGAGACTTAATAAAGAGTTTAGTGTTAAAAATAGTAGACCTAATACTAATGTTTTCTGATGAGTGTGACTAATAAATGCTTCTTTATAGGTTTGCAGGTTGTGTTGAACTCTATTCTGCGAGCCATGGTGCCTTTATTACATATTGCCCTCCTTGTGATTTTTGTGATCATCATCTATGCCATCATAGGCCTTGAACTCTTCTCAGGAAAGATGCATAAAACTTGCTTTGATGTAGTAACAGGTAGAAACTTACTCAAACATCATAGAAATTGTACTTAGCTGTGTCTGTTTTGATGTAGTAACAGGTAGAAACTTACTCAAACATCACAGAAATTGTACTTAGCTGTGTCTATTTTGATGTAGTAACAAGTAGAAACTTACTCAAACATCACAGAAATTGTACTTAGCTGTTTCTGTTTTGATGTAGTAACAGGTAGAAACTTACTCAAACATCACAGAAATTGTACATAGCTGTTTCTGTTTTGATGTAGTAACAAGTAGAAACTTATTCAAACATCATAGAAATTCTATTTAGCTTAAGTTTCTACCTGTTACTACATCAAAACAGAAACTTCAAACATCATAGAAATTCTATTTAGCTGTTTCTGTTTTGATGTAGTAACAGGTAGATATTTACTCAAACATCATAGAAATTGTACATAGCTGTTTCTGTTTTGATGTAGTAACTGGTAGATATTTACTCAAACATCACAGAAATTGTACATAGCTGTTTCTGTTTTGATGTAGTAACTGGTAGAAACTTACTCAAACATCACAGAAATTGTACTTAGCTGTTTCTGTTTTGATGTAGTAACAGGTAGAAACTTACTCAAACATCATAGAAATTCTATTTAGCTGTTTCTGTTTTGATGTAGTAACAGGTAGATATTTACTCAAACATCATAGAAATTGTACATAGCTGTTTCTGTTTTGATGTAGTAACAAGTAGAAACTTATTCAAACATCATAGAAATTCTATTTAGCTGTTTCTGTTTTGATGTAGTAACAGGTAGATATTTACTCAAACATTACAGAAATTGTACATAGCTGTTTGTGTTTTGTTCTACTTTTTTATGAGCTTTGTAATATGAAAAAATCTAAAGACAGGAGATTCATTTGTAATTTATACTATGCATATAGCACCTATGATATTAAAAATAATGCAGGCTTTAGTAAGACATATAATTTTAAAACTGTTTATTTGTTTTAATGTTATTTATGCAATATTTACTTTAGTATAATGCACTTTATTTAATCATGGATTCTATTGCATAAAAATGATGTAAAAGATAAAATACATGATTATTAAATAAGTTTATATGAATTCAGTATATATATATGTCTGATATATGAATGGCTTAATACAGTTTTAAAGTTTGTTCAACATTCTATTTAATTCTAACATAAGTATTTCTAGTTAAGTAATCTACTTTCGGTGCATGAATAATAACTTAATATACTGTAGCGTGCTTTTCAAGCAACTTGAGAAGTTTTGTTATCTTGAGTTGTTTATTAACAGCAATTTGTTTAAAATGTTAGATAGATTATACATTACTCTCTGTCAATTTTTTATTATATTACTGGTTCAGTGGATAAAAGATGTTTAGTTGAAGGTAAAAAAAAAATGTCACGATATTTGTCACACACATTTGCACAGCCAAAAGTGTTAATTTACTCCACCTGAAGTGTTAGGAAATATTTATGATTTGTTTGTTTGTATGAATATAATTGATTTTACTATTTGCTTTTAAATGATTTATTAAGAACTTAACTAAAAAGACTGCTATAGTTTATGTTAAGTATTTTAAATGGACAAAACATTAGTTGAAAATACAAAATGTAACATTTTAGTATGTCACAGTTTGATATTATAACCATATAAAGCATATTACATTGATAAAATCTGGAAGTAACAATTCAGTAAATTAAATTGATTTCAGTTCAAGCAAACTTGAGATATGAAGAAATTCAAAGGTTACAGTGTTGATCTAGCTATATGTTATTGTTATCCATTCTGTTATAAATTCTTGAAATATATTCTCTTCTTTTACTGTATTTTCTAAAGTTTCTGGATCAAAATGTTCATTACAGGAAAGATTGCCTTCCAAAACCCGCACCCCTGTTCAGATGGGTCTGTTGGCTACCTTTGTGATGCTTCGAAAAACTTAACATGTAGAGAATATTGGGATGGACCCAACTCTGGCATAACAAATTTTGATAATTTTGGCCTTGCCATGCTAACAGTATTTCAGTGTGTGACCAATGAGGGTTGGACAAATGTTTTATATGATGTATGTTGTTTCTTTTGAACTTGTTAATGTCTCTTTGTAGCAAAATTTAATACATTAATTTGTATGTTATATATATATATTTGTTCATAAGTAAGTATTTCCTTAGTACTGTATCTATATATATACCACATTTGCTTATTTAGTTGTCATAGAAAAGAGTTTGACTTGAGTGTAATTAATAGCACCATAAGTAAAATACATCTTAATAGTGAAACAAATTTTGGTGTTTGTTATCTTGAGTGTCAGTTGAAGATGGACGATTGGTCATCTGCTGATCAGTCACCTCTTTGAGAATGAGTACATATTTATAGGATAAAAATAAATTTCAAGGTTGAGCATGACTTTAACATTTGTTAACTACAATGTAACAGTGCCCCGATGGCGGTTTACAGATTTACAACCCTAAAATTTGGGGTCTGATTCCTTCCTGTAGAAAGAACACAGATAGCCCATTATGTGTATTTAGAGCTTTACACTAAAAAACAAAAAAACTAACAGCGATGTAACATGAAAAAAAAACAATTAATGGTGTATGAAAAATTTACTGAAACATTTTATCTGAATGTCCATTAAGTCTTTTGATGTTAAATTAACTATAGTTAATGGTTTCCATTATAATACTAAAATCTAGAATTTAATAAGCCTCTAGATAATTAAAAGCAAAACTGAATATTCCTTCGAATAATGAAAATTTACAATTTGTAAATCGTATTAAAGAAGTATTATTGTTTTCTCTCTAACAAGAGAACTGTGGCGACTTGTCAATTTATTTAAATGTTCACCACTTGGACAAACAACCTGTAAGAAATAGTGTGAAAGGTGAAGTAATAAGACAATGATAATGAACATAATTTTTAAAGACCAGTTCCAGATTTGTTCTCTGACAGATTATTTTCTCTCTATTAAAAAACAGAGTTATACTTCTGGGTTAATTTTCTTATAGATTATTAACTTCAATCCATACAAGTCTTTGTTGATTAAGCAAATGGAAGCAAAAGGCTACAGTTACTATATGTTGGTTGCTATAGTAATTGATAATGTTAGTGTGTGTGTGGATGAATTTTACTTTGAAGAAACAGACAGCTTTCTCTTGCCTGTTTTTTTTTATGTTCTTAGTTTATGAGGGTTGAAGAGTTTCAACCAAATTTAGTTATTATTAATAGTTTTGTTTTGAGTTTACTTACTGGTTAAGTATATTTTTTTAGAAGTTAAAGCTTTTACAGTAAGTAAGATTTATTTTTAAAACAGGCACGATGTCTCAATCACTGGTCGACCATTCTAGTGTACTTGAGAATGATCGCATCAGTGATTGAAAAGTTGTACCTGTTCTAAAAATAAATCTTTCTTTTTAAAAATAACTCTTATTTATTGTAAAAGCTGTAACTTGTAAAAAAAGTATATTTAGTTATGTTTAGTCATGTTTTTCGTTGAAAATTTATACTCTTAGTCCTTTTTTAATTTATTTGTTTAAGTGACTTATGTCTCCTGTTCTCATTTGATTTCTAGTTCAGACTTTCATATGAAAAAAAAATTCCAGTTTTTTTTTTACAGGGAACTTAATGTAAAAGAAAATATTAATAATTTCATTTTTTCAAATGTAGTTGATGGAAAATAAATATAACTTGGGCACTGTGTAGGAAAATAGAGTTCTTTTTCTTTTGTCAACTTTCAGATCAACGATTCCATGGGGAACGAGTGGCCATGGATTTATTTTATCAGTTTAATCATCATAGGATCTTTTTTTGTTCTCAACCTTGTGCTAGGTGTGCTTAGTGGGTGAGTGAAATGTTATTACTTAGATGTAGCCACTCTATTAACTGTATGTAAAAAATATGTATTAAATTATTCTAATTATTAAAACATAAATAAATTAAATTAAATTATTCTTGGACATTTGCATAAAATCACAAATAAATAAATAAAGTTAAAACAACATCCTCTTTTATGTTTACACAATAAATGTAATTTTTTATTTGGGACTGATTTACTTATTTACAAATAAATAAATAAAGTTAAAACAACATCCCCTTTTATGTTTACACAATAAATGTAATTTTTTTATTTGGGACTGATTTACTTATTTACAAATAAATAAATAAAGTTAAAACAACAACCTCTTTTATGTTTACACAATAAATGTAATTTTTTATTTCAGACTGATTTACAGTCTCAATACACTTGAAATATTTGAATGCTCTGTCATGAGCATCTTTAAAAAGAGCTACAAAGCACGTTGAGTGTATTGGGACTGTAGATCAATCATAAGTAAATATGATGATTTAAAAAACAGAGATTGTTGTTTTTAGCTGTATTGATTTATTTTACTATCTCATGTTTTCTGTATTCCTGTTTTGAACAGACAAATCACAACCATCTTATTTTATTACATTACTTTGGTTTAAACTATTTAATTCAGTTTAGATGATGTTTTGAAATAGTTCGTAAGCAAATCTCATTGTACTTGTGTTTATCATGTACAGAAGTTATCGAGTAATAGAACATTGACCACGCCACGTTAATATAAACTTACAGGACATTAAACTTGTATAAGGTTACATTCAATATTAATAAAAGTTTCTTATGAAAACAAACACTACAAACCAAGTAGTAAAGAGTCAGAAATAAAAACAGTTTCGATAATTTTGTACGAACAATAGTTGCTTGAACCATACTTTAGTCCTGTTTATTTTATCTTTTAGAGAATTTTCCAAAGAAAGAGAAAAAGCAAAAGCTAGAGGTGATTTCCACAAACTCCGAGAAAAACAACAAATTGAAGAAGACCTTAGGGGCTATTTAGACTGGATAACCCAAGCTGGTAACATCTCTAATTAATTGTATATTTTTGTTTCATGGGAATTTGTTTTCATTTAAATTTTTTATGTTGAATTTTCATTAATAGTTGTTAGAAAAGATATCTAGAAAGGGTTGAATTCCACAGTGGTCATTAGCTAGAAGTCTTACAGACTTATTCTCCAACAATGGTTAGATATCTAATGTCCATCTTATGTACCTTATATATCAGGCCTGTATGCAGAATGTTTGAAAGGGGGATGGTGGTATAATTTGTGAGATCAAAAGATAAAACATATTGTCAGAAGCACAATCAGCACGTAAAGCATGCTAATGCTATGGGGGTCTGGGGGCATGTGACTACTCTTTACTCTTATGTTTTACACTATATATGATCTGCCACATTGTTCTCCTGTATGTTTCGCACTATATGTATGATCTACCACATTGTTCTCCTGTATGTTTTACACTATATATGATCTGCCACATTGTTCTCCTGTATGTTTCACACTATATGTATGATCCACCACATTGTTCTTCTATATGTTTACACTATATATGATCTGCCACATTGTTCTCCTGTATGTTTTACACTATACATGATCTGCCACATTGTTCTCCTGTATGTTTTACACCATATATGATCTACCACATTGTTCTCCTGTATGTTTCACACTATATATGATCCACCACATTGTTCTCCTGTATGTTTTACACCATATATGATCCACCACATTGTTCTCCTGTATGTTTTACACTATATATGATCCACCACATTGTTCTCCTGTATGTTTTACACTATATATGATCTGCCACGTTGTTCTCCTGTATGTTTTACACCATATATGATCCACCACATTGTTCTCCTGTATGTTTCACACTATATATGATCTACCACATTGTTCTCCTGTATGTTTTACACTATATATGATCTGCCACATTGTTCTCCTGTATGTTTTACACTATATATGATCTGCCACATTGTTCTCCTGTATGTTTCACACTATATATGATCCACCACATTGTTCTCCTGTATGTTTTACACCATATATGATCTGCCACATTGTTCTCCTATATGTTTTACACCACATATCATCTCCCACATTGTTTATGTGTACTCCATCTTAATCTTCCTAATAATCACTGGTTTCTAAAATTAACCAATTATCGTCAATTATGTTGAACAACTGTAATGTTGTGTTTATTAATTTTACACCAGGTCTGTGTTAATGTGTTAACAGTTAATTTACTTGACCCAAAATTTATCTTTCATACACGAGGTTAAGCATATATTTATGTACTTGAGAGTTAACTGTTGTTATTTATTTTCGAAATACTGTATTTATGCTTAGGCTAGTATATACTTAATGTGTGTTACATAGTTATTCTTACCTTAATTTTGAAACCAGTAGGTAAGACAGAAATTTAAAAACTGATCAATTATTCTTACTCTTTTCTTTAAACAGAGGATATTGAGCCAGACGAAAAAGAGAATAATGAAGACTCCAGACATGGTAAACTTTGAAATTAATCTACCTAGACCATATACACAACATATATATAGAGAGAGTGAAGTCTCCAGACATGGTAGACTTTGAAATTAATCTACCTAAACCATATACACAACACATATATAGAGAGTGAAGACTCCAGACATGGTAAACATTGAAATTAATCTACCTAGACCATATACACAACATATATCTAGAGAGTGAAGACTCCAGACATGGAAACATTGAAATTAATCTACCTAAACCATATACACAACACATATATAGAGAGTGAAGACTCCAGACATGGTAAACATTGAAATTAATCTACCTAGACCATATACACAACATATATCTAGAGAGTGAAGTCTCCAGACATGGTAGACTTTGAAATTAATCTACCTAAACCATATAAACAACATATATATAGAGAGAGTGAAGGCTCCAGACATGGTAAACTTTGAAATTAATCTACCTAGACCATATATCTACAGAGTGAAGACTCCAGACACGGTAAACTTTGAAATTGATGTACCTAAACCATATACACAACATATATCTACAGAGTGAAGACTCCAGACATGGTAAACTTTGAAATTAATCTACCTAGACCATATAAACAACATATATATAGAGAGAGTGAAGGCTCCAGACATGGTAAACTTTGAAATTAATCTACCTAGACCATATACACAACATATATATAGAGAGTGAAGACTCCAGACACGGTAAACTTTGAAATGAATCTACCTAAACCATATATCTAAGATATATGTTGTGTATATGGTTTAGGTACATCGATTTCAAAGTTTACCATGTCTGGAGTCTTCACTCTCTAGATATATGTTGTGTATATGGTCTAGGTAGATTAATTTCAAAGTTTACCATGTCTGGAGTCTTCACTCTCTAGATATATGTTCAGTATATGGTCTAGGTAGATTAATTTCAATGTTTACCGTGTCTGGAGTCTTCACTCTCTATATATATGTTGTGTATATGGTTTAGGTAGATTAATTTCAATGTTTACCGTGTCTGGAGTCTTCACTCTCCGAGAGTGAAGACTCCAGACACGGTAAACTTTGAAATTAATCTACCTAGACCATATACAGAACATATATCTAGAGAGTGAAGACTCCAGACACGGTAAACTTTGAAATTAATCTACCTAGAACATATACACAACATATATCTACAGAGTGAAGACTCCAGACATGGTAAACATTGAAATTAATCTACCTAGACCATATACACAACAGATATCTAGAGAGTGAAGACTCCAGACATGGTAAACATTGAAATTAATCTACCTAGACCATATACTCAACATATATCTAGAGAGTGAAGACTCCAGACATGGTAAACATTGAAATTAATCTACCTAGACCATATACACAACATATATCTAGAGAGTGAAGACTCCAGACATGGTAAACATTGAAATTAATCTACCTAGACCATATACACAACAGATATCTAGAGAGTGAAGACTCCAGACATGGTAAACATTGAAATTAATCTACCT